AAGGTAAATTCGCAACAGATCATAGCAATGTCCAAACACTCAAGTTACTAATACATGCCTAACTGAAAATGTTAAAAATCACCTAAGTTAATAGTCCCAAAAGGTGAAGCCGGTTGTGATTGGGATTTTGAAGATGATTGCGATTTTGATTGCCTTTTGCTTGACACCATATGAGCTTTGGATTTTAAAGCGGATCCATATTTTGGTGGAGGAAAATATGATTGTGATTGCACTGGTGATCCACATGTCAACCTTGTATGACCACTTTCCTGGCACCGACTACATGTCGATCTCTTCTTCTCTTCACCCTTAGACGGTATACGATCGTGACTTTTTGGTCGGCCAGGTAGCCTTTTGTCCATGGCTGGTGGTAAAACTATTTGTAAGTCATCTGGTATGTCCCACTCAGAAGGATGTGGAATAGGGTAGACAATCTCGGCATAAGTCTGTCGATATACTTCTGTAGTGTAGCAATCCATAGCGTATGAGCTTGAATCATCTTGGTTTAGATGAAGAGCAACTTTTATAACATGGCCACGCGGATAACCAGATGTTTGTCATTTCATACAACTACACGTCTTTGCATTTAGATCGACAATCTCATTTAAGTTATTATCCAGTACTTCAAACAAAGTGTTTGAACATGGTTCAACTCTCCATGACGTTGACTTCACAACACGTTTCGTTATCTTTTTTCAGTCCATGGTGTAACACGATGTTCCAATGTTCCTGTAAATTTAAATAAATAATAGTTAGTAAAATATATGATAAGTTACGAATTTAAAGAAATAATACATGCATGGTTTCTTTTCTTGTAGTACCGCTGTTGAATAGAGGCTCGAAAAAACTCTATTAACATAGTAATGGGTAATTTTCGGGAATGACGACTTAGAGCGTTGATTGATTATGCACTATTAGACGTCATGAAACCATATCTTGCTCCAAGTTGATGTACTCTTGACCATCTTTCAAACCCGACATCTTCTAGTGTTTGAGCACATTGAGGCAAAACATGTCTTAAACAATTTATATGCTTATTGAAATCCACTTCCCGATAAGATTTTAAAGCCTTCCAGTATGTTCATTTGTGCTTTTTTATACCAGCAGACCTTGATTTTAGATTTCTATACAAATGAACACTACAAAGTCCATGAAAAGCATTTGGGAAACACCTTCTAACAACGTTGTCAATTGAGTTTGCCCTATCGGATATGATTGTCAGATTGCTAATAGGACCTATGTAATCCCTAAGATGCCCCATAAACTATGTCCATGAATCAGAAGTTTCAGATTTGCCAACCCCGTAAGCTATTGGCAATATCCCATTGTTAGCATCCATGGCTACTGCTAATAAGTTTACTCCAAGGTATCGACCTTTCAAATGTGCTTCGTCAACTATAATAACTGGGCGCATGCAAGTAATAAACGAACGAATCTACAAAATAATATACACAAGAAATATAATTATTTAAATGTGAAATGCATGTAACTAACAGAAATGAGTCAACAAAATTATATTGATTTACTAACCGCAACACCAATGGCGATAAACAACAACTCAAAGCGTCCATCTCTATCTGTTTTGATATGAGTTACCGACCCAGGATTTTTCAGCTTTAAATTGTGACAATAAGCCGACAGTTGGGCAAACGATGCTTCTGGCGACACCCTCAACAATTCCAAGGCATAACATTTGGCTCTCCAAGCTTGAGAATATGAGATACTAATCTTGAACCGAGCATTCATGTCAGTCATAATTTCATGTCCCCGATATACTCTTCCATTCAAAAACATTAACTCAGCCAGAAAACCACCCAACACCTTTTTGTTTGCCTGTCTATGGTGAGGAAAAACTTGGGTTCTTGAACATGTATGTTTATCAATAAAAGTCCTAACTTGAAACATTTCACAATCTTTTATCCTCTTTGCAATCATACGCCACGTACAATTTTTTTCAATCATACACCTTGTTTCGAAATGATCTTTGCTTAATTTGTTAACTTTTAGTTGATAGTCATCTTCCACACATTTTGTATACAAAGATATTTTCAAGTCTTCCTTTGTATCAAAACAATCATCTTTCTTGATACGAATAACTTTTGTGTAACAATCAATTGTTATATTTACCAACTCTTCTTCCGGTATCTGAAGTAATTCTAGTATATTCCAATTATACTCCCGTGGCATTTTCTTCGGGGACTTCTTCTTCTTTTTCTTCTTCAGGGTTATATGAATTATATAATGGATGTTCAACATGTTCATTCACAGTCGTAACTTCCTCCTCATTATCATCAACAACATCTTCCTCGGCAACGGCTATTTCATCATCAAAATTTGGGTATTGACCAATATCAAAATCATTACATGCAAGGTCTGTTTCTTCTTATAAAATATCATCAAAATCCGAGTATTGACCAAGATCAAAGTTCGGGTATTGACCAAGATCAAATTTTGAATACTAACTAGTACTCACAATTTTTTGTGTTGGCTCATCATCGTCTAACTGGTCAATACGAAAATCGGAATTTGGTGTTGAAAGTTGATTGGGATTTGGATTAGGGAAAGGTTATAGGTTTTGAGATTGTGTTTGGTATTGGAAATGTGGTGAAACAAAATTTTCTTGGTGATGAAATTGTGGTGGAACCATTAAAGTTTGAGGTTGATAACAACGTTGTACATTGTGATCACCATAAACTGGGGTTGAAAAACTTAGTTGATTACTACCCGCTACTGACCCAAATTCACTACTTCTAGGTTCAACAACATACAATGTAACATCATCTTGCGAAACACTAATGTAAGCAATGAATCGTTCAACATCTTCATTGTCGGATAACAAATAAACTTTACCTTTCCTCTGATAAGATAACCTAAATCCACTCAGGAGCTCTAAATTCAATTTCTTTGAAACATATAACATTAGAGTTTCATAAGTTAACTTTTTTAATGACAGTTTTAGTTGAAGATTCATGGGTAAAGACATATATTGTAAAACTCCATGAACATTCTCTCATGACCCTCCAAAACAGAAATCTATCCAAACATGCTCAACATTAGATGATTTCATGGTTGTAAATTAATTTACTAAACAAACGAGCTGCGAAACTAAAACTTGTTGCCGGATGGGGAATGATGTCGCTGGAGAGAGTGATAGATGGAGATGAAATGAGTTGTGATTTAGGGATTTAGGTTATTAGTTGCTGCTACTGCGTAGTTATATACCCAAAACATTTGTGTTGCGAAACCAAAACCTGTTGCAATTTCAGAATCGTGTTGCGATAGTCAGAATCGCGTTGCGAAAGTCAGCATCACGTTGCGAAAGTCAGCATCACGTTGCAAAAGTCAGTATCTCGTTGCGATATTCAGAATCGTGTTACGATAGTCAGCATCGCGTTGCGAAAGTCAGTATCGCGTTGCGATAGTCAGAATCGCGTTGCGAAAGTCAGCATCACGTTGCAATAGTCACAATCGCGTTGCAATTTTGTATTATCGCGTTGCGATTTATGTATTCGCATTGCGAATAGGGAAAATCGCAACGCGAATCCGGAAAATCGCATTACGATAGTCAGAATCGCGTTGTGAATCTGGAAACTGATTTACGATGCTGGAGATCGCGTTGCGAAATGGCGATCGCATTGCGATTTTGTTAGTCATTTTGGCAAATCCGAAAAAAGTTGATTAAAATCGTATATTATGAGGCATTTTTGGTCACTGGGGTTATTTTCTCTTTAGTTTATACTATTAACTTATTGGTTTAAGGGATATTTTAATCCTTGTACTTTTCCAAAAAGGTCAATTGAGTCCCTCCATGAAAATAGTATCCAATTGAATTCTCAAACTTAAAAATTATATTAATTAAGTCATATGAACGTGTAAATTGATAATCAAACTATTTATAAATTTAAATCAAAGTAATTTCAAATAAGATTCATATATATTGTATTTATAATTTTTATATAATATTTCTATCATATAATTTTATTTAGGGATGGTAATTTGATCAGAATCCAATTGGTTTTAACCCAACTCGATAAGATTAATTTTTTTTAAAATGGATTTACATTTAAGGGGAAAATATCTTTATCTGATATAAAATAATAATATAATTTTCTTTTATATATTTAAAGATAATTGTTATAATATATCTCTTTATACATTTAATTTTTTAATTAAGTCTAAATTTTTTATATATATTTTGTATCAAATCAGAAAAAATTAACTTAAATTTAATAAAAATTAAAAATATAAATTAAATTGATAAAAGAAACTTGCTTTAACTCAACCCATTGCCATCTCTATCCTATCATGTGGGACTCAGCCACAATCCAAAACCCTAAAGTCCAAAGCCCCATATGCACCACCAAAAACCCATAGGCTTAACGTGTACAATTCGAATGCCACTTTTATTTTATTTTTACTTAAAATTCACAGCCAATTATTTTAATTTTCTATATAAAAAAACTCAACTATTTTCCATTCTATTCCTCAAATTTATACAGTTTTTATGCCTGCTATCTGTTTCTTTCGTCTTCTCTCACTGCTCCATATCCCGTTGAATTGAGAAAAAATCTTCTCCGGCGACAAGTTTCCAAACGTTTTGACTCAGGTGGCTACCGGCTTCAGCGTCTTGGCCAGCGTCGTCTTAGTCAAATCCGTCATGGATCAAAAACCCATGGCCGGCCCGTTTCCGAGATGTTCGACTTGCAACGGCACGGGTCGCATCGCGTGCATTTGTTCCCGTTGGTCCAATGGAGATATCGGCTGTCGGACTTGCGCAGGGTCGGGTCGAATGGCTTGCAGCAGCAGCATGGGTTTAAATAACTGATTGGTTAAAAAATAGTTTGAAAAGAAAAAAGAAAATAAAACAAGTACTATTATATAAGAAGATGCATCAAGTCCAATCTTACAGCAAATGTTTGAGAGAATGATTATGGAAAATACGATTATACAAACCAAAATCAATAGAGAGATGTCAATTTTACAACAAAACACAAAACATTCTTCAAAACATAAAACACGAGCTCGAACCTGAACAAAGACTCTGGAATCATCAATCATGTTGTGCTCGCAATACCCTGAAATAGAAAAGGAATGCATTTTCAGGCAGTTTGGTAGAGTAAACTGAATGAATGAATGAATATGGCTTGGGCTATTGAATGTAGTGCCACTTACGTCTGGAAGGATTATTCAAACCATCTCGTTATTTTGAATATGGCTTCAATGCCTTCTTCCCTACTTAACTGGATGGATCTGATTGTTTGTTGATTCATCCCTTTTGATCTGCATATTTTCTGAATAAGCTCAGGCGAGACCTCAGACAAATAAACTTCGTTTAGATCAGGTAGACTTTCCCAATCATCCGGCAATGTCGTCAACTCCTGGCATGCGGCAATGAACAACTCTTGAAGACCAGGCATCACTCCTCTGTTGATCAAAATTTCTTTCAATCGAGGGCATCTCCCAATTGCTAAAACCTTAAGCTTTTGGAATCCTTCAAGGAAGTCTAATCGCTCTCCCTCGTATACATTTAGTAGTTTGAGTTGTACAAGATTAGGCAATGCTTGGATGTGAGGGAGAAAATCATCCCTCAATCTAGACCAATTTAATACCAAACTTGTGAGGTTGTCGAGTGAGTTAAACCAGTGTGGTACCTTCTCCAGTTTCCCGACTAACGCAAGTTTCCGAAGGTCAGGGGGAGCGGATTCAAGAGCGTCCATCTTCACTTGCTCATCTTCGTTACATGATTTCACCTTTAAGGATTGAAGATGTGTCATTTTTGCAATGGCTGAGCATAAATATTTCTCATCAGCTTCCTTCACATTGGTAACGCCAAGTCTTCTCAATTGTACCATCTTGCTGAGTTGTTTGATGAAATCGCCTCTTGCGTCCACAAAGCTCAAAACATGTAAGTTGCTTAGCAAACAAATGTTGGATGGAACTACTGGGCCAAACTTACAATCAAATGCCATTCGGTTTACATTGAAACCAAAAGCAAAAGGAATCGAAGATTTTTCAACTTCACAATTCCTGCTGGAAGCTCTTTGATTTGAGTCCGCTTCATAAGTAGAAACTGTAAGTTGTAAAGCTTGCCGATGGATTTCGGAAGCTTTTTCGCTTGAGTCCCTTTTAGGTTAAGATATCTCAAATTGAATAAATTCATCAATTCGTCTGGGAGTTCCTCGATTGGAATGTCTTCCAAATCCAACACTCTCATCAATTTAAAACCAGAGGGCAGTCTATTGAAGGACGATTTAGAGGTTTCTTCAACAGCAAAAACAAATAATGAACGAACCCGAGATAGTGCAGTCTTGCGTGCAGCTTTCATTTCATTCTCCTTTGCTTCAATAGACCAACGACGGATTCCATCGTCTTCCACTTCTTCTTTCCCATCAGATTTGGCAACAAACTTTATGGATTTTGATATGGAAACAGCAAACTCCCGCAAAATGTCATGCATCTTAAATGCCCTGGGCCTCCCAGATTTATTCCTCTTCTCAACTTGAAGCAAGCCTCTGCATATCAACTCGGATAGATATCTCTCCGCAACTACTTCTGGAAGTGTTTCTTTTAGCGGTTCAACAAAGCCTTCAGCCATCCAAAGTCTAATGAGCCTTTTAAGTCTAATCTTATAACCTTCTGGGAATATGCAACAATATAAGAAACATTGTTTAAGTGTGTAAGACAAATCATGGTAGCTAAGCAATGAAATATACTTGAGCCTTTCAAAATATGTATCATTTTCGCTTAGCTCCTGATTTAAGTTGTCATAAACTCCATTCCATTCGGCAATCGAGCTCTTGGAAGCCATCAAACCGCCCAAGGCCACAATAGCTAATGGCAAGCCTTGACATTTTGCAACCAGCTTTCTTGCTGAAGGTTCAAGATATGGTGGGCATTGTCCACCTTTGCCAACAAAAGATTTCTTGAAAAAAAGAGTCATGCTCTCTTCAAACGGTAAGTGTTAAGAGGAAAGATGTGTTTTACAACTCCAAATTCAAAGGAAGCAACGTCGTCCTTCCGTGTGGTAAGCAAGATCCGGCTTCCATTCATATTGGCAGGAAGTGCTATGCTGATATCTTGCCATAAATTAGTGCTCCAAACATCATCAACCACAATTAGATACCTCCTTGGCTGCAAGAAGTTCACCAGTGCCTCCACCAAATCTCGATAACTCACGGAGTCTAGGTTGATCACCGGATCCATCTTTTCTTTTGCCTTGCCGTAGAGCTCTTTGATGATGCATTTGAATAGTTCTGTTACAATATATGTTGTGAAACAGTGATCCAGGCACAACAATCGAAATGTTGCTTGACAACTTTTGTTGAAAGTGTTGGCGACGAGAGTTGTTTTACCTAGACCGCCCATCCCAACCACAGAAATCACGGTCCTTTGAACCTCTTCATCCAACAGCCATCCCAGTAACTCATTTTGTGCCTTGTCGATTCCAACAAGATCGACATCTTTAAAAAAGAGAGTAGATTCACTCAGATTCTTCACCCAGTTGTTACGGTGATATTCTCTTCGGATTTGCTTATCAGATTTTCTTGATTCTGATCGAGAAATCGGATATCGTTGGTTTCTCTCTGCAATGCTTTTGATTCTTTTGTTGATATCTTGTAACTGGACAGCTATTTGATGCCTGAACAATAAAGTCTTGGGAAAATGAATAAGCTTCAAGAAAAACTTGGTGGGTTTACCCCTCCATTGTTGTTGCTTGTTGAAGTGGAACATGAATTCGTCGACCACGTCTTCAACTTCATAGGTAATGTCTCTGACGCTTGCGACCCATTGTTTATCGGTTTCAGAGATGGGTACTACTCCTAGGCTCGTGTCAACATCCTCAAGGAAAGCTGTAATGGCCTTGAGCTCAAGCTTGATTTCATCGATTTCAGCTCCAACCTCTGTCAGCAAGGAAGCTTCCTTTTCTAAAACGGAGACGAGCTTGCCCGTTAACAGATCTAGAGAGCTTGATAACTCCATTCTTTCCAATTCTAGAGATAAAGGCTTGACGGTTATCAGATGATCTTTAAATTATCTATGCAAATGAAAAACATGTTGCCATGAAAAGTTCTGTAATCATATTCCAATTATTGTATAATTTATAAATAAAAGTTAAAGCTATGACAAATAAACTATCATATTGATTATAATCACAAACCTTAAAGCATTCAGACTTGGACTGCTTGAATTCAAACCTGTGGTTGGTTAGGGTTGGCTGGGAAGGAAAGAAGAAGAAGACTAATTATAGCGAGTTTTAGTTTACAGTCAACTCACAGTCTCTTTTATGACTGGACGGCCACGATCGGTCTTCGTAATGAACATAGAAGTGATTTATTTATTTTAATCAATATGAAGGTGATTTATTAGTACAATAAAGGGTAAACTACTCTCATATGAACTTTTATTAGCATAATAGTATTCGTAACTTTTGGGTAAAGTATACAGATGATCCACCGACTATTAAAAATTATAAAATAGTCACCTAACTATTTATATGTTTTAAATTTGTCCTTTGTTGTTAAAAATATAACAGTCGTTTGAGCTGAACGTTAACATGTTGACTGGAATATGATAAAATTATATTTTAATGATTTCTATTGGTACCGTCGTTGGTTTTAAACACTGGCTCGACAACATAATGTTTCAAGCATTGGCTCGATGACATAATGTAAACGGAGAGTCGGTCTATAAAATACAATTCAAATAATTATGAGATCAAATTTTATCATATCTCAATCAACAGTCCAGTTCAGTCGACCGCCAATTTTTTAACGGAAAAAGACAAGTTTGGAACATGTGAATAGTCAAGTGACAATTTTGTAACTTTTAATAGTCAGATGACCCAACAAAATAATGTTCTATAATCAGATATCATTTTATAACTTTTAATAGTCGAATAACTCAACAAAGCAACAATTAGAGATCATTTGTGTACTTTACCAATTTTTTTAACAAAAAAAAACTCTTACCGACTCTCTCTCTCTCAATTCTCACTTTCAAAACTCAATTCTCCTCTTAATAAGAATTCCCACCAACCAATAACTTTCGAATTGGATCATAAATCGTCAATATGATCATCTCCTTTTTCACTGCATTAATCATAATAAATTACCACCTCATTTATACATCAATACAAACCTATATGTATTCGTTTTGAGAACTATAATTTCCATGAAACAAAAGTACTTTACATGCTTATAAGAGAGAACAAACCTAGGAAGAACTCTTCAAGTCCCCCCTTTGCCTAGCGGCTCAAGAGTGAAGATCTCAAAGGAGCACCGACAACACCAAAGTGCAAAACTTAGCCCTTAATTTAGGAGCGTCGTCGTCAATGGAGAATGAAAAATCCGTGGAGGAAATAGATCATCTTGAGTGAAGCACGAAGAAGATTAAATAGTCTATTAAGATAGATGTCGAGATCAAGAACACCGTAACAAAAGAAAAGAAAAAGAAACATGCAACAAATCGACTGTTTCAGAAACCTCAACTTCAACCGAACCACAGTTCTTGAAGTTTCCTCGAAGAGGAAGCCAACATCTTGTGTCTCCTATCGGTGTGGCTAGAACGAGCAGGGAGATCTTAATCGATGGGTTGATGATATATGTACACACATTTATCTTCAAAGTATGACTAGAATGGTATGAAACATTGTATACTGTTTGCATACTAATTTCTGATTAACAAAATGAATACCGTATACAAAATCAAATGCATACTGACATCATGTCTTAACAAAGTGTTACATACATATTTCAACGATGATTCACTGTGCCTATATGATGGTGCCCTTTTGGTTAATCAAAGAACATAAGCTAACTACTCGAGAAACTAAAAAGAAAATCGAGAAGAGCAATAAAATTGACCTAGACATGATCACATTTTCTACAGAGAAAAATGAAAGAATAATGAAGAATGAAGATTGAATTACAAGAAGTATTTCATCCAGTTATCTCTCTTCTCATAGCATTGTATACAGCTTGAACCTATATGACACAATGAGTTCCATTAGAGTGCGTACAATCATCGGTCCTTTGAAGCAACATTTTATTTTGTATTTTTCACTTCTTAAGACAGGAAAATTAATGTATATGAATGATAATGTGAATGCATGAGCGTACTGTAGACAACCCACTTAGCAACCCAGATATCAGCTGGAACCCAGACCCAACCCAGCAATTGACCCGACCCGAAAGGACACGAATCGGCCCAGACCAGTTAGGGTTTTAAAAAACCCTAAATATATCATCCAATGCCGCATCATCAAGGACTGTTAGATCTGGACCCATCCAACGGTCCAGATCAATGGCCAGTTAGGGTATGAAACCCTAACCTTCATAGACTGCCACCGCCTCCGAGTTCCCGAGCCACCAAGCCGAGCCTTTCTTCCGACCGTCTCTGCCGCCGTTATCACCAACAGTGACCGAGACCACATCAGTCATGCAAATCAAAGAGAAAACCCGATTAAAAAAATCAAATAAAATCAAGCAAGTACACAAGAAATCACAAGAAATCCCGAAGAAATCGGGACTATCAACCTAGGGTACTCATTCCCTACGAACTGAGGCCATCCATCAACAACAACATCCAGACATCATCAATCAGAGGTATGCCAGAAGATAAAAAGGAAGAGAAGACAAAGAAAAAGGGATTCGAGATTCGGGGGTTTAAAAAAAATCAAGAGGCAGAAAGAAGAACCAAAAGCAGAAAAAAACGAGATAGAGATCTTACCTTTAGGGAGATTTGATCGTTGCTTCCTCACCGGAGTTAGGAGGGGCCACCATCGAAGGTAAAACCTTCACCTTTCTACGATCTAGGGTTTGAATAGGAGGGGGTTTCGGTTTCTGTTTGGGTATTAAAGGGTTTTTTTTTCGAAGAGAGGGAGGGGAAAGGCCATAGGGTGTCTCGGGTAAGGTTTCTCGCGCCATCGCCGCCGGCTGCGGCGGCCGTGGCCTCTTTATTTTCTCTCCACGGCGGAGACAGAGGCG